TATTTTTTTTTTATTTGACAGGTAGAGTTATAGACAGTGAGAGAGAGAGACAGAAAGAAAGGTCTTCCTTCCATTGGTTCACTCCCAAAATGGCCTCTACGGTCTACGCTGTGCTGTTCTGAAGCCAGGAACCAGGTGCTTCCTCCTGGTCTCCCACTTGGGCCATCCTCCACTGCCCTCCCTGGCCACAGCAGAGAGCTGAACTAGAAGAGGAGCAACTGGGACTAGAACCTGGCGCCATATGAGATGCTGGCGCCGCAGGTGTAGGATTAGGCAAGTGAGCCACGGCGCCGGTCCCTAGGTGTATGTTTTATATTTTCATATTTTATATGTTTTTTTTCATTCCCCCTAATTTATCTCACTGTCTTCTATTGAATTTCCAAGAATTCCATCCCATTTTCTGATTCACTGTGTTATTGGTGGATGTTGTAGTTCACATCCTTTTAATGATAATTAGTTTTCTCGGGTTTTTATTTGACTCTTCTTGTATTCCTGCTTTCTAGTTCTTCTGGGGTTTTTCTATTTCTCTTTTTATTTATTTATTTATTTATTTATTTGACAAGTGGAGTTGCAGACAATGAGAGAGAGACAGAAAGAGAGGTCTTCCTTCCATTGGTTCACTCCCTCAAATGGCCGCTACATCCGGAGCTATGCCGATCTGAAGGCAGGAGCCAGGTGCTTCCTCCTGGTCTCCCATGCGGGTGCAGGGCCCAAGCACTTGGGCCATCCTCCACTGCCTTCCCTGGCCACAGCAGAGAGCTGGACTGGAAGAGGAGCAACCAGGAGTAGAACCCGGTGCCCATATGGGATGCTGGTGCTGCAGATGGAGGATTAACCAAGTGAGCCATGGCGCCAGCCCCTCTATTTCTCTTTTCTCATCATGCAGATGGTGGCCATTTCTCAAATGTCTGATGATTCTGCTGTCAGATTATTCCTAAGAATGAGACTGGAGAAAGGCTCACTAGGAGCCATAACCATGTTTGTGCAATCTGCTGATGAGCAGCCTTCAGTCTAGGCTGATCAGTACCTCAGCCAGCTACATGCTGGCCTTTGAGGAGGTCCAGACAAAAACAAAACCAATCGACCCACAAATGACCAGGAGGGATGATGGATCTTTCTGGTTATTGGTTGGTTTTGCTTTTGTCTGAGATTAAACACCTTGTTGGCAGCAGAGCTGAGGAGTGGTGTAGAGGATGACCACCTCACTGTCTTCAGTCGTCTTCATTACAACAGTTTCTCTGAGCCCTCAACTTCTGTGAGCACATGCCTGGACTAAGGCTGCTCCCTTTCAGCATTCTCCCAGGCACTCTGTCTTCCAAAATTTATCACAACCACTTATCCTCTTGTTCTCTGTTTTTGGTGTTTTATCTTTTATATTCCTTTACAATCATATTACTTATGTGCTAGGAAGAGAGGAAATAAATACGTGTGCTCAAGCCACATCTTAAACCTTTGGCAAAAGTCACATATTATCCCCATTCTGCATTCAGAAACAGAGGCTCAACTTACCTAACATGACAGAGCTAGAAAAGGAAGGGCCACTATTAAATTTGTGTTCTTTCAACTATGTAAAATCGCTCCTTTTTGTCTAAACCATGACTCAGTATGATCTGGAAAAACAAGAAACACAGTAGATAAAAATGCACAATATTATGTAGGTATGCTATCCTTTGTTCATAAAAATGATGCAGAAACTGCCCAGAATACGAAATATGCAACATCATTTTACAGAGTTATGCATCTATCATTAAATAAGAAATTATGAGTGTTATAAAATAGAAGTTTGTGGGTTGAGTTTTGGTGGTGTAGAGCTTGGGGAGGGAAAACTGGCAGGAAGGGCTGGGTTATTGCTCAATAGCCATGGGTAGGGCTTGGCACCCCAAGAGTTCCCAACTCTATCAAATCCACTTAAGGAGAAGCAGCAATTGGGGAGCACTTTAGCCCCAAAGAAGTGGGACAGGCTCTGGGTAGTGGGGTAATTTGTGGAGACTGCTAGGAAGGTAGAGCACCCCATCTACCTGGTGACCACCATCTCATATACCTACGTTATTGGTTACTCTGTACCAAAGACTGCAATATACTCCAGAGACACTTTCACCTTCCCCCAGGGTAACAGCCCCCAAAACACAGGGTCCCTTCATTTGTGAAAGTGAAGGAATCATTTTTTTAAAGATTTATTTATTTGTTTGTTTTGAAAGAGTTGCAGAAAAAAAGGAGAGAGAGAGAGAAACAGAGAGCTTCCATTTGCGGGTTCACTCCCCAAATGGCTGCAACAGCCAGTACTGGGCCAGGCTGAAGCTGGGAGCCAGGAGCTTCATCCAGGTCTCCCATCTGGGTGGCAGAGGCCCAAACACTTGCACCATCCTCTGCTGCTTTTCCCAGGCCATTAGCAGGGAGCTCTATCGAAAGTGCAGCTCTAGGGACATGAACTGGTGCCCATTTGGGATGGTGGCATTGCAGGCAGCGCCTTTACCCGCTACAGCACAATGCTGGTCCAGAAAATGTAGAAATTTAAATCCCACAATCTCTCATTGGAACACATCATTCATAATGGTTTAAAAGCCAAAATGTTATGTAGAATTATCTAATAGCTGGTCATTTATTCTACAAATTGTTACTGAGTTCCTACCCTGTGTCAGTGCTGGGACTAGGACCCAGGGACACAGAGGTGAAAAACACAGTTATTCCTAATGATGTTTACTGCTGATCCTCCAAAGACAAGGCTGACGCATCTCTTTCTTAGGGACATGGGCCAAATTAGCTTAACATGGAAATGCAAAGATTGGTTACCGCCTGGGGAAACTGGGTAGATGGTGAACAAGTTCAATGCTGCTGTTAGCTCCCTTGATATCAATTGAAACACTTGATTTACTGGGGAACATAACTGAACAGAGAATCCCTCTGTTCACAGTATTTCCCTATGACTTTCACCCTTCCCAAAGCTGTTTTGGCCTCAGTTCGAGACCGAAGCCTAGAAGGAATGAGCATGTACTCAAAGGCTGGCACGCAAGCCTGTAAACCTGGAGCGAGAACAAAGCTTTCTCGTATGATAAACAATGAGCATAAGATTAAAAAGCCTGGTTTCCTCTTTGCATCAGCAAATACCAGTTGTCAGACAGCTCTGAGTAACCTACCCCTCCTGTTCCTGAAAGACAGAGTTATTATTAGAGCCTTGAATGTGTGTCTTAATTTTCAAATGAAATGGCACAAAAGAAGTGATAATGCAAAAAAAAAAAAAAAAAAAGAGAGAGAGAGAAACTTTTAAAAACTATGGTATTTGTATCTGTGATTTTTCCCCCTAACTCTCTCCAATGGCCTCTGAAACCTCACCACCAGGCTGACATCTTGATAAATTCTAAAAGAAAAAAAAAATATAATGCAAAAAGCAGGGCCAGAGTGGTACTCGAGGTCACCGTGAGAAGGGAGGAAAAGTGTACCTACCCAAATGTATGCAGGGACTTCATTAGGTCAAGGACCGGAAGAAAGTGTATGAGAGTATGGGGTGCCCACATGGAACCTGAGGTTAGTCTTCTGATGAAATAGCCTGTAGGTTCTTTGATTTAGCTCTTATTCCCAAGCAAATCAAGATAAAAGACCAATGCTCACAGCTCAGCAATCAATAGAAAGCTTCCTTCCTTTGGGAAAAGCTAGTATGGACATGTCTCTTCCTTTTTTTTTTTTTTTTTTTTTATTTTGTTTTGTTTTGTTTTGTTTCTTACTGAAAAAAGGGCCAGCTTTCTCTTGACGTTTCTGCTTCTGGAGGGGACCTGAGAAGCTTGCAGCGGCAGACTGCATAGACTATGGTATTAGGAAAAAAGCATCAGTCCATGTCCCATGTAATCCTGTCTGCAAGTCTCTTGAGTCTCAAATCACTCTTCTGCAAAATGTAGAAGATGGAAGAAGCAAACAAAAGTGATTCTAAATTTCTGAGACTTCTTTCTTCTCTTCCTCTCTTGAATACTTTTTTTCTAATTAAAAAAGCCTAGACTGCAAAATCATATACTGGTCTACCAGTTTCCACACATCAGAGAGGAATTCATGCATTTTCTAAATAATGTGATAAAGTTATGTTTAAAAACATATAGGCATGGGGTCAGTACTGTGTTATAGCAGGTGAAGCCACTGCCTGCAGAGCCAGAATCCCATATCAGTGCTGGTTTGAGTACCAGCCACTCCATTTCCAATACAGCTCTCTGCTAATACACCTGGGAAAACAGTGGAAGATGCCCCAAGTGCTTGGGCCCCTGTCCCCACATGACAGGCCCAGATGAACTCTGGCTCCTGGCTTCAGCCTGGCTCAGCCCTGGCCACTGCAACCATTTGGGGAGTGAACCAGCAAATGGAAGATATCTGTCTCTCTGTGTCTTCTCTATAACTCTTTCAAATACATAAATCTTTTTAAAAATATGTAGGCTTGAATGTTAGGATGGCACCCTCTGGAGTCTCTGCAGCCAGTCTGGTCCAGGAACACACACTGGCATCCTGGGGCCAGGCTGTGTCTTGGTCAGCACCTACCTCCCATTCCCTAACCAATGCCTTTCAATTACAGGTAGGGCTTCATTTGATTCATTACCTGAACCAGCAGCTTCTCTTTGTTATTTCTCCAGAGCAGAATTAATTCACACAATTTTGTCAAGTCACCTGGACTTTGTGTTACACTAAAAACATCGATGATATCAGCCAACTTTGGCCTGAAAAAGCACAAAGCTCTTCCAGAATGTCTTGTGGCATCACCATTTCTAGATAGCTTAGTAGTCAAATGGACATTATTAGTTTATCAGCCAAATATGAAACCTGTTCAATACTACAAGAGTCAAATTCTAATGTATGCATAACTTAATAAATTACAATTCAGAGTTGTGGTGCCACGTTAACACTGGTTGAGGCTCCCAGATTTCTGTTTCAAGTTGGAAACTGCCAATGCAGTGTTCAAAAACAAATCATACTCAAAGTCATATCCTGTCATCTCTCATATCCACCTAAAAGACCAGACCCTCCACTTGTTCTCATTTAAATTTTATTATCATTGTTATTAGTAATAAGCCAATAGAAACAGGATAACAAAAGGAAAAGTTCAGGATAAATAACTTCTTCCTTAAGAATTAGAAGACACACACACACACACTTTCCTGTGTACAAATTACTTCCTCTCCACATTCCATCCTATTGTACAGTTACACAAAGCAGTCCACAGAACAATATGAGCATGTGATACTGGGGTGTGGGACCTCCTTGGGTCTCAGGCTGACTCTTGGTCTAGATCACCAGCTTCTCCACACTCAGTGTACTTGTGGTTTCATCCTCTTCATTTGACCCAAAATATCCCGGGAGGTCCAGCATCCTCTGCTCGGCCTCAGTGAGGCCGAATGACGTATTGTCGTAGAAGGCGAACTCGGGTTGGGTGGGGAAGCTCTGGCACTTGTCTTTTCTACACTGAGAAGGGCTCAGAGGGCTGACCCTCTGATAGCTGTCTTTGGGACAGGTGGGGGAAGACTGCTTCCTTGAGACACTCCTGTGACTGGGGGATGGTCCCCTCCGGGCTCTGTGGGGCTCTGTTCTCTCCACTCCTGCCTGGCGATCACCCAGGTCTGGTTTCCTTGCAGGTTGCCTCAAGGTGTGGCACTTAGGGAGAGGGCTTAATGGTCCACTGGTCCCCCCTGCCCCTTGCATATGCTCCAGTTTCTCTGGAAGCAGGTGGGCCCCTCGACTCTGAGGCCTGAATCTGTCCTCTACCTGGTCCCAGCTCCGCATCCTTGAACTGTAGGCGGGGGCCTGCCGTGGTGTGAGGGTGGACATGCTCCTCTCCCTGAATGGCCGAGCCTGCTTGCTTTCATGAAAACTAGCTGTCCTCCGGAAGTGGGAATTCCTGGGGTGGCTCCTGTCTGTCGGTCCCCCTCTGCTGCCCATGTGCCTTATCTGTGACTTGCGAATCAGGGTCTGGCTGGGGCTCACTGCACAGGTGGCCTGAGACACGTTGAAATCCAGCCTGGAGGGAGGTCTTTCCCCAGCACTGACTACAGACTGGTCCACAAATGGGGATTTGATCCGGAACTTGTTTGTGGCAGCTTCTTCCGGGCTGTCCAAGTCTAAGGGGGGGCCGGCGGCTGTGTCCACTGCGGTGTCTGTCAGGGGGCTCTGAGACACGTGGTACACTTTGGTGGTCTCCGTCAGACCTTTCTTCTTCATCTCCTTCAACTGCTGCTGGGCAAGACGGTAGCTAAACAGAGGGGGGATGATCTTCTGGGCGTTGGACTGGAAGCTCTCACTGCCAGAGGCATCGTCGTCAGGAGCTGAGGGCATGCTGCGCCTGTAGGTCAGAGGGATGCCCGCATCGCTGGGGCTCCCCGCGGGCCCCTCGCCCCCGTCTGAGAAGCTGCCCCGCTGCTCACTCAGCTCGCAGATGTCCTCCTCGTCTGAATTCTTCCGGAAGCCAGGGGAGTGGATGGAGTTGTGTCTGGCGGGAGTGCTGCACTTGGGGGGCCGGCCGAACCTCCTCCACAGCGTGACGAGCACCGTGGCGACGATGATGAACATGCACAGGGATATCCCGGTGACCGTCACGATGTTGTTGGACTTCACCGGACCCTGGGGCGGAAGGGGAGATGAGCTGGATGGCCGGGAAGCTACAAAGGAAGGAAGAACAGATGGATTCACAAGTGCTGCTGGGCTTGGCGTGGTGTTACAAGTCTCTCACTGCCTAACAGTTAAAGAGGAAACCAAACAAGGGCTGGATTCCTGGCCTGACCTGTGGATCACTTCTGACAGCTGGAGCCAGACAAGGTCACCACTAAAGGGGAAACTGTGAAAACAGAAGCCCACAGAAGTAAAGTCCCAACAAGGGAGGTTCCTGCCCAGGCTAGCTCCACCACAACTCCTCAAATGCTCTACAGAGCAGCATTGTGTAGAAAACTGAAGCCAAGATCACAGTTTTCACTTACCACAGTGTCAACTTGGGATCCTGCAGTCAACACGCATCTGGGAGAGGCACATGAGAAAACCCTAACCAAATATCAAAATTTGAAATTTGGAATGACTTAGGTTGTGCATACGTTTGCACATCTCAGACAGAACTGATGACTGAAAATATAGATTTTGGCAATGTGCTATAACTCATTCTCCCCTTCTGATATCCAGAAACTGTCTTTGCTTAGTGTTGAAGCTTCTGCTTTCTTGTCCTGTCTTCAGCTGTCCTTCTCCTTCTTACTTTCTGGATGGTGCTGGTTTCCTGATTTTCCCATGGTCTCTAAAATTGCTTTCTCCCACAGTCACTGAAATATCTCACTAAGATGCAGACTCAGGGTGGGTGTTTGTTGTAGCAGTTAAGATGCTGGTTGGTGACACCCACAACCCATATCAGAATGTCTGGGCTCCAGTCCCAGCTCTGCTCTTGATCCTGCCTTCCTGCTAATGCACACTCTGGCAAGTGGCAGGTCATGGCTCAGGTACTTGGGTCCCTGCCACCCACATGGAAGAGCTGGATTGAATTCCAGGCTTCTGGCTTTGGCCTGGCCCAGTCCCAGCTGTTGCAGACATTTGGAGAGTGAACCAACAAACAGGAGATCTCTGTCTCTTTGCCTTTTGAATAAACAAATTTGAAAAGTAAAACAAACAAACAAAAAAACCACGAATGCACCTGGAGCTTCTGCTTGTACTGCCATTAAAACACCTGGAAACTCAAGACCAGCTGATGCCCCCAAGCTCACCTCTAAACTCTTCATCGCTGTATACTGCTTATGCCCTTCTGGTCATCTGACCTGTCTCCCCACTCCCAGTCATATCATGCCCAGCTCCGTTTCACCTCCTTGACCATCCTCTTGCTGTCCTTCTCACTTGTGTCTGCTGTACCCGAGGGGATGCTTACTTACACACTTCACATCCCTAACCATTTCACAAAGCAGCCAGAGCTTACCTGTGATCTGGTTACCTTGAAGGTGGAAGCTATTAGACATACTTCTATTATATTATTTTATTTATTTTATTATTTTACTTTACTTTAGAGGCAGAGTTACAGACAGAGAGAAAGAAAGACAGAGAGAAAGGTCTTCCATCTGCTGGTTCACTCCCCAAAATGGCCTCAACAGTCAGAGATGAGCTGATAGGAAGCCAGGAGCTTCTTCCAGGTCTCCTATGCAGGTGCAGGGGCCCAAGCACCATCTACTACTTCTCCAGGCTACAGTAGAGAGCTTGATGGGAGGAGGAGCAGCCAGGACACAAACTGATGCCCATATGGGATGCTGGTGCTACAGGTGGAGGCCTAGCCCACTACTCCACAGGGCCGGCCCTTAAACACACTTTCTTGATAAGTAGGCAGGGCCAGGAGCAGGGTGTGTTCCCCAATCTCATTGCTGATTGCCATTTTCAACTAGCACTCCTTCACTGCCACACAAAACTTCTGTTCCTTTGATGCCATACTACCCACTGAGACCATCCTCTGCCCCTCAGTCAGCACTGTCTTCTCTGAACCTCTTGACAGCCGTCAGTCACTCCAGCACCTGGGCCCCAGCCTGCTCACCATCCCAGAACTAGAACTATCTCACATGACTCAAGGGTCTACACACCATGTAGTATCTCCCCCTGGTCTGTTGCTGCTCCTCCTCTGAAAGCTTGACCTTCACAGCCCACTCTGGCCATGCTCCCCCCTCTCATCTGCTCATTATTACTACACTATATGAGCATTAGCCAACCTCATAGTCTTCTGATTTTCCAACCCTCCACTTCCCTCCATGTGCCAGCCAGTTCTGTCCCTAACCAATTTACATCCATGACTTATCACGGAAACAACTTTCTTCCAAATAACCTCAACTCTTAGCACCTCTAGTGCTGAGCTATGTTCCTTCCCCTGCTCTGCAGCAAATGTCAACCCTAGATTCAACCCAGACAAAAGAATTCTCATCTGCTGAACCCAGGTCCTGGGCACTGGTGGAGAGAACAACCCAACCATTCAGGCCAGGTCTCTGCATATTCAAAGCCCAACCCTGGCTGCCTCCAAATCCTTCCATGGGTCCCTTACTCTATTCCATTCCCCTACAATACCTATTTCAAATTTCACCACTTCCCTAAACCCTTTACCCAATCCCTTCCCTAGTAGTCTTGTAGCTCTCTCTCTCTCTCTCTCTCTCTCTCTCTCTCACACACACACACACAGAGAGAGAGAGAGAGAGAGAGAAGGCAGTGGGCCAGTATATTCCCAACTATTTCTACCATCTCTCTGCCCCAATACATTTACAAGCAGCTGCACCTCTATTTACCACTTTCTGTATGCAATCACTGGGAGAAGTGTCTTATAAAAGGTGAGTCCAGTAACAAATGCTCTCTCTTGGCCACTCCTCTAGGGGGGGATTCCCTGCTCTGTACCAGTTACCTCCAGCTTATCCTCTTTGTAACTCCTTTCCTTCAGCTCTTCTTGCTTTATAAAGACCCTCCTCCAGTCTCTCTTGGTTACACTGTCATAACCAGATCTTGCTCCTTGTCTTCCAAGCCTTACTCACAGGGAGGAGTCCAGATTTGCTGACATACTGACTCCTATAACCTCTGTCTCCTGAAACCTGCCCCCAGGATTCTAAAGAAATGGCTCCCTGCTCAGGTCATTAAAGATCTAATGGCCAAATCCAAGAGTTCCACCTTGCAGCCCTGGGTACTAGTAAACACTTCTTGCTCTTCTTCCTCCCTCTTAGTTTCATTCATCACACTGCATCCCCACAGTCAGCACTTCAATTTTTATATGAAGTACAGGAACCTCTGTTGCCAGGGTTACCTTTCTGAGATGTACTCCATGCTACAGCCAAAGAGATCCCTCTAGAACAAGGCCTAAACTTTTAAGATCCTCCAAGATCTGTACCTGCTACCTGTCTGGTAGCACACCTTCCTGGCATGCTATCTTCCAGTTGCACTAAACTATTTTCAATTCTCTGTATCTTAATGTGTCATCTTCTTCCATGCCTTCATTCAGGGATCCCTTTCTTACCTAGTTCCTCTGGGTGACATCTTCTGAGCTCTCAGACTTCAGCTACAATTACCTCTTTCCTCCAAGAACAAGTTCCCAGCATGGATTTTCACCCATGCAAGCTTCCATAGCAAGCTATGAATACCCTCTAACACTGCAGGCCCTTGTGCTGAGAGCTATGCCCATTTATGTGTCTGCCAAGCTACTTTACCATAAGCTCCTTTAAGACAGAAATGACTTATCAATATATTTTCAACCTCAGTCACAGTAACTTGCATATAGTCGATACTCAATGAACATTAGTTTAATTAACTGTTTAATTAATTATTAAACAGATATTATCAAAATGATCAATTTTCCACCAGGTAGGACATAGGTACACCAACAACTGGATCCTCCTACTTTCTTGTTGAACAAGAGAGATCAAATTAATATAGAGCTACACTCAGACCTTGGCATAAAACCATTATTTTAAAGCCAAACAAAACTCTAAACCCAAAACCAAGTGAGAACAGTGGACTGACGAAAGACTTGTTCCCTGATCTATTACTTCTTCTATCTGTGGTGACTGCTGCTGACAGTGGGTAGCAGCCTTGCTATCACACATCACTAACGTCTTCACTTAGCACTGTTCTCTTTTACCTTGAGCTGGATCCTTTGAAAACCTCATTTGACAAAAAGCCCAAGGCCTATCTCACATAAGTCTTCTGGTACCTGTAGTATGCAGCCCACAAACAGATCTTTGTATTTAAAAAAAAAAAAAAAAGGAAAATAGGTTGAAGAGGAAAAGAACACTTGGAAGAAAAGATCATGCTTATCCACGTAAGCCAACAATAGTAGGAACGTTGTGTCACTTTTCCTTCTTGCTAATGTGTAATGTGCACAGTGAAGACTTCCCATTCAGTGTTAAAGACTAAGATGCCAGGACACGAAATACTACCACATTTTCTCTAACCTGATTACTAACTGTAGGTTGTGGATGCTTCTTCTAGAAAGGCAAATTGGTCTCTGAATACAGACAAAGTATCCAAGACAGGTAGCTTCCTTCTTTCCATGCCGACAGCACTCCAGCAAACACGGCAAAACATTCCTAAAGCGCGCCGGACCTCCTGTAGGAAGTGTGGCAAGCACCAAGGCCACACAGTGACACACTAGAAGCAGGGCAAGGATTCCCAGGATGCCCAGGGAAAGCGGTGTTACAATAGGAAGCTGAGCGGCTAGGGTGGGCAGCCTAAGCCGATTTTCCAGAAAAAAAGGCTAAGGTTACAAAGAAGATTGTGATGAGGCTTGAGTGCATGGAGCCAACTGCAGATCTAAGAGAATGTTGGCTATAAAGAGATGCAAATATTTCAAACTGGGAGGACAGCAGAAGAGAAAGGGCAAAGTGATACAGTTTGAAGCTTCATCTTCTGTTTTATTGTGAAGATGATAAAAAGCGTAAGATTATTGTTCACTTCCTTTGATTACATTTGGCCTTTGGGGAGGGAATAAACTAAGGTCAAGAATAAAATCCCCTCTGTGGAATAAATTTAAGCTTAAAAAAAAAAAGCTTCAGATGGAGTCATATCTAGTCCCCCTGCCTTCCAGCAATACCACCTTGGCTGGCCCACTCACCCTTCCCCATGTCTCACAGTGCTCATCTGTAATATGGAAATAATAATATACCAACAACACCAGACT